TTATTTGAATATATAGCCTAATCCATAGAAGTCAAAACAACCGAAAGTTGAGTCTTCCAAAAAAAAAAAAAAATCAAAATCAAAATCAAAATTAAATCAAAACAACTTCACTTTTATCTAGAGCAATAAAGAGATCATCCGAGTTATGGCTAAAATTCATTAGAGCAATCATTTCAACTTCGCTTCTCTTATTCTTGCCTTGCCCAACATAACATGATTTGCTCTCTTTTACCTTTCAATATGGCCTTATTTCTACAAATATGATCAGTCCCTACAAAGTTTTGTATCTTATGCACGATCTTATGATTGACATCATTCATGAAATATAATGATGCATCAAATCGATAAATGATAACATGATAAGAGTTTTGCTCGGACTTGATAAACAAGAAAGCTTTCTTTGTGAAACTTGTCATAAAATATTTTCTAATAAATTAAGGATAGTGACATAAAAAATGATCTCAATAATTTTTGGGCTAGATTTATTGATATGTATTAGCAAAAACAAAACATTTGAGGGTAATACTTTAGGAGTATGAAGAAAAGACCAATTATCAACCTAGCCATAAGAGCGGATGCTATTTGGATGACATGAACGATAACCCGGTCAAAAATTCAAAAAAAAAAAAACATAATTAGAGGACATATGATTAAACAAAGAAAAATTAGCAAGAATAGCTATCCTAAACCTCGAACCTATTCAAATGGTGATGACTTATAAATAAGGAGAAGAGAGGAAAGCTTATGTTTTGATATTGAAAAATTATGTTTCTCCGATGATAATAACGTATGTCACTTGTGATCTTGTACATTGCCAAAGGAAGGTCGCCTTTTTTTATCTTAGGGATGGTTACTCACATTAACCAATTACTAAGGAAAGGTCACCTATTTAACCTCGGGAATGGTTACCCGCATTAACCAATTACCAAAGAAATGTCACCTTTTTACCTAGGGAATGGTTATATGTATTAACCAATTACCAAGGGAATGTCACCTTTTTTACCTCGATGATGGTTGCTCTTATTAACCAATTGTCAAAGAAAGGTCACCTTTTTACCTCGGTAATAGTTGTCCGTATTAACTAATTATCAAGGAAAGATCACTTTTTTTACCTTGGGGATGGTTGTTTGTATTAACTAATTATCAAAGAAAGGTCAACTCTATGACCTTGGGGATGGTTCTTTATATTAATCAATTACAAAAGAAAGGTCACCACTTTGATCTCAATGATGGTTACACCTATTAACTAATCGTCGAGGGAATGCCACCTTTTTTACCTTATGAATGGTCACCTGTATTAACCAATTACCAATGAAAGATCACCTTTTTTCCCTTGGGGATGGTTACCCACATTAACCAATTTTCAAGGGAAGGCCATATGTTTGACCTCGAGGATGGTTACCCATATTAACAATTCTCAAGAAAAAGTTACTTTTTTGACCTCGAGGATGGTTGTCCGCATTAATCAATTGCTAAGGGAAGGTTACCTTTTGACCTCGGAGATGGTTATCTATATTAAAAAATTATCAAGGGAAGACCACATGTTTGACCTCGGGAATGGTTACCCTTATTAACCAATTACCAAGAGAATGTCACCTTTTTTACCTCAAAGATTGTTACTTCTATTAACCTATGTTTTGAGGAAGGTCATCCACAATTGACCGAGTGATTTAAGGATAGTCATTCATTATTTGAATTTGTCATTTGATTTGTTTGTTTGGTTATTGTTCTCGCTTGTTTGCCACTTCTTTTATGATTTTCTTTACGAGCATACTATGCAAAATCAAAGAAAAAGTATATTTTCAATAGCTATGCATCATAAGCATTGTAAAGAGAGATCAATTATTACCATCTAAATTTTCCTCCTAAAAATAAAAAAGAAAAGAAAAGAATAGAAAAGGGACTGAAAAGCATAATTGAATGGTACAATTGAAGAAAAAAAAAGAAAAAATGATCAAAATAAAACAAGCTCGGAAGATGAAGGACCAAACCGAACTTTAGCTAAAAAATCTAAAAAATTAGTATAAATACCTTTCTTTCTCACCCCTCACCAGCTTTTCTCTCTCTAAAAATTTCAACTAACAACCAACTCTCTCTCTTGAAATTTTGACTAGTAGTCCAATCCAAATCGATCCTTCATCGTCAACAACCTCTCTAGTCGATCCTCCACCATTAGAAGCCCCTCCAACCATGCCTCCCTTTTCCCTCATCTAGCCAACTACTATCAAATAGTCGATCCCTCTTTCAATGGTCGTTCATCCCCGTTCCACTCCAATAGCCTCGTGCATCACCATCCAACATCCTTCGAGTATAAGTAGCCTCGTGTGAGCCACCATCTAACAACCACCGGCATTACCGCTAGCCATCCACACCTCTTGATCTATCGTTCGCTCTAGCAAGCCTTCTTCATCGCCTAATAGCCACCAACGACCACCTCGTCGGACGCATCAACCTTTGATTCAGTAGCGTCCGTGATAATAACTATTCAATCTAGTAACATCCCTAGTAGGAGCTATTCGATCTACTAGTAATTCGAATCAACAATCCGATATAACCTTCTAGCAGACCTCTAATTCGATCACCAACGATCAATTCACCTCACTCGAATCCAAATCTACAATAGGCGGCCATCCTTTCTCCTTAGTTAACCGAATAATCTATCTCCGTCAAGGTTGAAAAGGTGGGAACCGACCTTATTTTGACGAGAAAAAATTTCCTTCAACCTTTTTGCTTTTTTTTTCGGTAAGTAATTCATTTTTAATCTTTAAATTTAATTTTTATAAAATTTAATTTGTATCTATATGACTCGTAAATTAATTAAACTGTTGATGTTGTTGTGTGATTATTTGATTAATGTGTTTAAGATACATTATAGTGTACCGAGCCTACGGAAAGGGTCGAAGACCTTGGGTAATATCGAGGTGGAATAAGGACTATTATTCTATAATTATCTTTGTTATTTCCTGTGTGATAAAATTGTGTTAGTGTGAACCCCGTTTTTTGGACCTTTTGTTTTTTTTTTTTTGCCACCGGTAACATTAAATCGCTCATCCACCATTTTATTTCAAAATGTGATTCTTGAGTCACGCTTGTCCAAACATCATTTTTTAGGCCACTTTTGTCAATTGTAATGATTAATTTTAATATTGTCATCCATTCACTTAAAAAAATATTATTCTCGAGTCACGTTGGTTCGAAACTCGTTTTTTGACCATTTTTGCCAATTGTGATGGTTAATTTGACATTGTCGCCATTTGTCTAAAAATATTGGTGTTTGAGTTGTGTCGATTCGAACCTTTATTTAGACCATTTTTGTCGATTTTATTTAAAACCTTTTCTTGAAGTCATGTCAGTCCACACCTTGCTTCGAATAGTTAATGCCAACATTGTCTCGCCATACCAATTTTACTTGCCAATTTTTTTTGTCAAGCGGTTGAAAATCATGACATTTGAAATCTTGTCGATCTAAAACTTGTTTTTGGATCCGCCAATTTAATGATTTTTCCTATTTACTCGAAATTTTTGAAATTCGAAAACGCATCAAATAAAACCCTACTTTCAAATTTTCTTTGCCATTTTTTTCTTTTTTATATATGTTTTTGCCATGTCTATTGTATGATTTTAAATTTTAGATTTATTATTTCCCACGATGAAAATAAGACCTTTGATCGGTTAAGTCCCGAATTACTCATCCGACCGGCAAAAATTTAGGGATAGGTATAAATTCAAAAAAAAAAAAAAAAAGAAATCAAGTCATATTTGTATCCAATGGAACTTGCCTTAGGTATGACAAGATATAATGATTTTTAATCTCACCTACACGTAACAAACCTCTTACTTAAAACTCGAATAGACTAATCATATAGTTTTCTAGTAACCATAATACTAGGTAGTGACTCAATAATTTTTGCTCATTTTCCTATTTTTCAAAATCATCACATTCGTCCCGACATCTTCCTACGACATGCAATATCATGTTACTTCGTTATTCCTTTTGTGTTTTTTTAGAAAGACAATAATTTTATTAATATCAAATTAATGTAAAACAAATTATTTTTTTATATCTGAAAAAATAAAATTCTTTCTAACTCTTTGAAATTTTTAGAGTCGAGTCACAAAATTGAATATTAAATTAAGTATAAACAAAGCTCTAATACTTCATAATATTCTATATAGTTTGTGTTTTAGATATTAGAATAAATATCTAATAAAATCACCCCGTTTATATGGATGGGTGCGCCCACGCCATGCTATAATATGGTAACTTAAAAGTTTTTTCTTCCTTGAACCTCAATGTAATAGTCAATTGATAAATAAACATCTGTAGCTAATATTTTTTAGCATTTATTTTTAAAATACCTGAAGCCGTTCATCTGAGTTTAATCCTTTTACTTTTGATACAAACTTGACCGCTTCCTCTATGGTTTGAGGGGAAAAAAAGATATTAAAGATTAATTGGAATCAACTACTTTCATTTAATAGACACATTAAATTCCCTCTGACAATTGTCAATGGAAATAGAGATTACGTAGATTAAATCTAAACACACTCATCACAATATCCTCCATTTTCATTATCACAAAAAAAAAAAAAAAAAAAAAACCCGGAAGACAGCCAACTGCAGTGCTCCACGTCACAGTAGGCAATAAATTTAACATTAACTTCCTATGGAAAAAAAAAAAAATCAGTTAATTAAAGTGCACAAAAGCGTTCACCAAAAACAGAAAAAGTACACTAAAGTGTCCACGTTGAGGGATTAATGTGACTGAGATCACAGACATAATGTCAGAATTTAACTTTACAAATAAACGTCAGCAATGTCGTCACTAAAGAAATGGCTACACGCCACAACACATGCAGCTACGCACACCTGTGACCTTAGCCACAGCGATACTAGGCTAGATACTCCATATAAATACATCTCATGTCTTGATGTTATGTTAAAAGGAAGCACACAAAAACACTTTTGACACTTTAAGTGAAGCCATCAGCGTTCAGCCATGCCATCAATTGAAGCTCTAGCAATGGCAGGTGTGGACTGCGTGGAGTTTTGCATCAGCCTCGAAGAGAGGGAGCGTCGAGATGTCGAGAAGACTCCGCAGTATCTTCTGGCCGATCAAGGTGGAGAAGGGGAGATCAGAATTCATGAGAAGAATAAGTTGATGGGAAGCTCAGTTACTAATATCGTTTCGACTATTCATGAGCAAGATAAAAAGCTGTAGTATTATGTTTACATCTACGTATATATATGTATTTAGTTTGAAGAATTATGTTTGTATATTATAGTGGCGTATGAAAGGCAGATTTCCTGATGAAATTTTTGCAAAAAGATGGTCATCTTTGCAAAAAGAAAAGGATGGAACATCAAAGTGTGCTATTTCTAGCTACCTCTCTGTGTAAACTCATAAAGATTAATTATTAACAATGAAAATTATGGCAAAATGAGGTATTCACGACAAGCATTGGAATATAAAAATTGGGTTACTGTTAAATATTATGGTGTTATTGTTAAGCAAATTTTAAAATATTCTGCTTTCAACGTTTGAATTCAAACAAGTAGAATCATGTGAGTTTCTATGCCTGCTATTTGTCTTCAGGAGTCCAAGATAACCATGACTGCAATCATGAAAAGGTTCTGCATAGTTTTAAAAAACGGTGTAACGGCCGGTATATAACTGAACCGACAGTAGCCGTTACCGTTTTTCGGCGTTAAGCTAAAATACTGATGGTTCACAAAGATAACGGTCGTTATACCGTTACATAACGTTAACAGCCGTTATATCCGTTTTCTGGGAAAAAAAACGGCGCCATCCTCCATTGATGCTTAGATTTATGCTTCAATTTTCAGTCATATTTAATTAAAACATAAAGAAAAAATTTTTGGAGGGAGAATCGATTTTTTAGGAAGGAAGATTAAGGATGCTGTTTTCAATATAGAAAGGCAAAAAAAAAAAAAAAAAGAGAGAGAGAGAGAGAGAGAGAGAGAAGAAGAAGATGAACTGGTGCTGCAGAAAATAGAAGAAGAAGCGGCAGTATGTACAAGGAAGAAGAAGAGACTATAGAGGGAGGCAGCAGGAAGTGGATTTAGGTTTAGCATTTAGAGCTTTTAGTATTTAACTTATACCTAGCGTTTTAATATTTTGAGCCGGATCAATACTTTTAAACGGTCTATTGGCCCTATTATTTTTTATGCAATTTTAATTGGACTCGTCATTTTTATATTTTTTTAAGTGATATTATTGGGCCTAGTTTTGGATTTTGATTTTTAGATTTTTTTTTATTTACTTTCTTTTACTTTGTATAATTTTAAAAAATTAATAATATTTTTATTTTTCTAAAAAAAAACTTATAAGTCAATTTTTCTTCAATTCTAGCAACTAATAACTAAATTATAATTTTATTATAACATTTTATGCATAATTTGAAACTTCAGTTAAATTAAAAATTAATTTTTAATAGTTCCATTATTATTAAATTATAATGGTGCGTGCACATATATAATTAAAAAATGTTATATGTTTATCCATTAAAACTATCAAATTAACATGTATTATGAAAATTGCTCAATCATTCACAATAATTATAGCTGTGACTATTATGTTTAACAGTTAAAATCTAAATCTGTTATCACAATCCGTTACCGTTATTGCAATCGAAACCGCTACTTGATGCACCCAATCCTTAACACTGGTAGTCTCTTGCGGGCACCAGCTTGCACATAGCTTTTATTGTTCAATAGCTTTTTAACTTTCCAAGCTCCAGCAGGGAAGTTTTATGAGTTAAATGATTCGGTGAGATTGTAGTGATCTCAAGTAAAATAATAACAATAATAATAACATTTTGTGGCCACCCTTCCCCAGTACAAAATTTCAATCACGTAACAGATCTTCCATGATCACTTTTGGCTTGTAAAACTTGATAAAGTCTTGGAGCTTATAGGTGCCGTTATCAGTCAAAGAATCAACAATGGCACAGGGCAACAATCCTGGAACCATGGACCATAGACTTGGAAGGGAAACATCAGTTGTTTCACCATCAGAACACGTTGATATGAAATGCAAATAGAAAATCTCCCCTCTTTTGCATTATAGATATTACATTCGCTTATATCTCACGTATCACTGCAAATATTGTATGATAGAGCAAAATCCTAGAAAATGAGAGCGAAATGACATAGAAAACTTGATGGAAGCACGCACAGCAGGCAAAAAAAGCCTAAGCTGCAAGCTGAGAGCAAATGCCACTTTCTTGGAATAGCTATGATGATGAAACTGGAAGAAAGTCAGGCTGCAAGCTTTTGGAGTTGTAAAGACTATCTGACTTTGTAAGCAAGACAAATTAGTGAACTAACATAGGTGGAGGAAGAAACCTTGCTGACGCCCACTACATTAACGTCAAAAAGATTTTCATCTCAGACAGCATGGGAACACAAAGACCCTCCCACAAAGGAAGAACGAGGAGCTTATAAGGAAAACTGTCATATAAATTATGCAAGCGCATTGTTTCCTTCTTTTTTCATATGTCCGTTTTCATTCAAGGCAAACATCAAGCTGATGTAAAAGGAAATTACTTGCTTTAAATGCGTCAGGGAATTCAATACCTCATCTTCCACCAGATAACTCAATTGCATCTTGGTTATAAACCGAATCTTCTCCCCAGTCAAATCTTCTCTGCAATCTTTCATATTCTTGCCTGCGTGTAACTTCAACATGCTGCCATTCTTCCCACCTCTCAGCTAGCCCCTCTCCTTCTAGCATCCGCACAACATCTGACATTGCTGGACGGTCCTCTGGTGATGCTTGGGTACAGAGCAAGGCAACTTGTATCATCATCTCCACCTCCTGGATGTTGTAGTTTTTATTTAGGTTGCGATCTACAATAGCATCCAATCTTTTCTCCCTCTCCAGCTTCTTGACCTTCATAACCAAATATCCAGAGTAGAATGACAAGCCCGTGAAAAAGTTGCAAAACATGAAAATTAAAACCATGCTAGAGAAACATCTGCAAATGATATCATACTCATCTTATTGGATTTTTGTGGATTTTTGACATTCGAGTCATGCAAACAAATAGATAACATAGGTGGGTTTGAGAGAGATGCATGCAACAAAACCAACACAATAATGGATCATTGTAATTAGCTCTAGTTATCTTACATGATCAAGCAATAAGACATCATCTTCCTCTTCCAGGCGTGAAAAGTCAATTGCCCGTTGACCTGTAACAAGCTCTAGGAGCGTAATCCCATACCCAAAGACATCAGTCCTTTCTGATGATTTGCCAGTGGACAAGTATTCTGGTGCTATGTGGCCCATTGTACCACGAACTTGAGTTGTCACGTTAGTCTTTCTCACATCCACCAGCTTTGCAAGGCCAAAATCACCAACAACTGCTTCAAAATCTTCGTCAAGTAGTACATTAGCTGCTTTCACATCACGATGAATAATTTTAGGATTGCAGTGCTCATGAAGGTATTCCAGCCCACGTGCTGCACCTAAGGCCACTCTTTTTCTGGTTGTCCAATCTAAAACAGGCTCCTCAGGTTTACGTTCTGCAGGTCAAGATCAAAAGTAACTAGAAATTTATTGCACGTAAAATTTGTAAAATAACTATATGGCATTAATTGTATTTATGATAGTTGACATCAGATATTACAACTGAAAGATGTACAAATAATTCAACAAAAAGACTAACATTATAAGTAAACTCCGATGCTATGGATCAGCTGATCCTTGTCCTACTCATTTGTAGGTTAGTACCAGAACTAGTTCAATGCTGCCAATAATCATTACAAAAAACTTAAAGCTGCATAATACACAAACAAGCTTCTCCAAAATATCGCCAAATTCAAATGGGCCCCTATGAAGATTTTCCATCCACTATTACCCTTCTGAATTTATTTCTGTGACAATTGACCCACTTGAGGATGACAGTGGTCGCTGCATCACATAATCATTAACCCCTACTGAGACGGTGTTGCAGACGCCTTTGTGGACAAACAATACAGAAGAAGACAGAAGCACATGGAGGAAAATTAATATGGAAGGGTATCTATTTTATTGCTATTATCTATCTTATTTTATTGCTACGTTTATTACTATTAGTTAAGAATAAACCAGGACCAGCTAACTAGCAAACCAGATATGATTTTCCTAATTGTTTGGTGTTTTAATTGGACTTTTCATGTGTTAGGGAGTTAGATTAGGCAATAGCTTGTTATGCTTGCATAGTCCTAATTGTTTGATGTTTTAATTAGACTTTCCATGCGTTCGGGATTCAAATTATGCAATAGCCTTTTATGCTTGTATTATGTTTTTAGGACTTCTCTACTATATAAGGAGGAGATGGAAATTGAATAAGATATCGAGAGAATTATATTCAGAAGGCGAAGGAGAGTTGGAAGGTCTCTTAAGGACAAACCTCCATTGTTATTGTCAAAATAGGTTTCTCTAGGAAAGGAAAGAACCGGAGCAAGGGAACAAGAGAGGATTTTCCCTGTGCACCAAACTATGACGCGATCTTTGTCTAGGGATCATAACAGACAGGAACCGGATTGCATAGTTTGATGTCCCATGAGAGCTTATTTGTGCTTTTTTTTTTTTTTTTTAAATTCAACTCCTATTGCACACACCTGACAAAGTTATAAATCAGATTTAATTGCTAGAAATAAATTTCATTTTCTACCTAATAGTAGTCGACTTTGGGTTTCATTTTAGAATTTCTATTCCTATTTTGTGGTAGAGTTTTGATGCCTATGGTGCATCCAATCTGTGTTATGGGACAAAACTATTGATGAATGATTATTAAGAATTTGCTACTAGAGTTTACTCCACTTAAAAAAATGAAAATGAAAATGAAAGGCTGCCAAACAATTGTCAGGGTTGCTTTAGCCTTTTTGTTCTATCATCATCTTGTCCTGCATTATGCAAATAAATATTTGCAATATAGAAAATGATTGATGACAAATACCAGCTGTAGAAATTGAAGAAAACAGTTAAATATATTAGCATTTCCTCTCCAAATCCTGCGCATAGATAACTGATACCTCTTAGACGATAGGCCACACTTAAATTCTGCATGAATGGATACACCAAGAGGCGTTCTGTTGTTGTTGTGCAAAACCCTATCAGACGTAATAGATTCCTGTGAACAGCAACACTTATCATCTCAACTTCGCGTTGGAATGCTGCATCACCGCCAGGACTTTCAAAATCAGTCAAACGCTTTACAGCAACTTTGGTATTATCAGCAAGCACTCCTTTATAAACTTTTCCAAAACCTCCCTGTCCAAGGATATTTTTCTCGCTGAAGTTGTCCGTGGCAAGCTGCAATTCCCTCCATGCAAATCGTTTTAACTGACCAAATGCTATTCTTCGATCCACTTCACCTAAGAAAACAGTAAGAAAGGCATTCAAAAAAAAAAAAAAAAGGAAAAAGAAAAGAATTAAGCGAAGGAAATTAAATACTTTGACCATTTCTAAAGGATAATCAAAGGTAAACAAAATATTTTTCTGTTTTGTATACAATTTCGAACTCTCATGACTTCTAGACAATAGAACATATAATCATCTTTGTGTGCCTATAATTCGATCCAAGAAGTTGCATCAATCAATAACAAATAAACACACATCAGTTTCCATTTTTAGCCAAAAGTCAGAATTGCACATATAAATAGAAGAGTTTTCAAGCAGCCAGGATTTTTGAACAATTTAAACCATCAAGAAATTATCTGAAATAAATCCAACAATAGGCTAGCTATATGTATGAGAGCATGATGAGACAAATTGATTATTAAATTTCATCCAGATGGAAAAGTAGTTTCTGTAATACCAACAGATGCATCGAATTGTACCACATGCATACCAAAACATCCCATAGTATCATAGATTGCAACATCATATGTAGAGTTACAAGTTTTTCTGCTTGTTTGACCTGATTATAAATGAATTATTATATGAGGAAGAAAAAACGATCATAAGATAAAATCATGACGAAGTCCAGCTAACCTAATTCTCTTTTGATTGCAATCTAATTTTTTAGGTAAAAAATTAGATTGCAATCAAAAGAGAATTAGGTTAGCTGGACTTCGTCATGATTTAATGAGTGGAACCAGGTTACAACATGCGGACAATTATATAAGCTTTTGCGCTAGATTTTCAAAAACTATCATAAAAGATTTTTATTTAAATAGAAGGAAGCTCATTAATTTCTACTCATAACATGCTCAATCACTCTGGTTCATATAGGTGGATGAGATTGCATTAGGCCGAAATATGAACCCATAGCAAGTAGCTAAAGCACATGCATGTTACCTCCACTCATCAACCGCTAACTAGTAAGTGCAAAATATATGCCAATACATAACAATATTTTTTGCTAATCCTCATTTCAGCTACAGACAAAAAATAAGCACCAAAGTTTAAACAGTATTTTTCGCTAATCCTCATTTGTCTTTCAGTAAATTGAATAAATTAGCTGAAGGATGGGGTACATAAGATAAATTCTAAAGCCTGTTATTTTACTTCTATTGTGTTGATATGATCATTAAAAATTAGCCATACTCAAAAGGTTGTCATAAGATATAACCAGCTTATTTGGTAATGCAATTAATATTTTCCCAAAAAAAAAAAGCGTAAACTAAATGTTAAATTCCATAGTAGTGTACTGAAGTTGACTTAATTGAGCGGTAAATTGAAGCTTCAATGAAAAGAATTTTATCACATCAACAACAAAACTTGTCCAAGTCCAGCAAGCTCGCCAGAATAGAAATGCAGAACAAGACTAGCCAAAATTGTGATACAATCTATAAAATCCATTCTGTGCATGTAGTAGATGGTAGCTGCAATGCAATCATTTGCTATGTGCTTAAAGGAAATTCAAACCTGCAACATCTACAAATACTTCACGTTTGGAGCCTTTGTGTCTACCCTTGCAAACAAAAAACAGCAAGCCTCCAAGCAGAAAAAGAATTGTGAATCCTCCCACAAGTCCAACTATAAGTCCAATCTTTGACCTATGTGAATCACCTGCCAACAGATGAAAGGATTAGCAATTTGCTTCACAAAACATAGCTTTAATGGATGTAGTTCGAAAAACAACTCCAATGAATCAAAAAAGCTAGTTACTTACCTGAATCGCTATTATGAGACTCACAGGGATGCAAAGTTTGCCCACCACAATTTAAGTGGTTTCCTGTGAAACTGAAATAAGTGAACACAATTCACATTAGGTCAAATGTTGACAGTTACAAGACACAGCTCACACGCACGGACACATATCCACAAAAGAAACAAACAAGAACTTTAAATGAAAAAAATAGGAGTTGAAATAGCACTAATTCAATGTTGTTCATACTTGTATTTAGGAATTCGGAATAAATGATCAGGAATTTGACCAATGAGATTGTTTGAATCGAGCAGACTGCAAGAGAATTTCAATCATGCCATCAAAATCTTGAAAAACTGCCAAGGGATACATAGCTATACAATTCGAGAGTTAATTGTTGAAAAAAAAAAGAACAATTTAGGAATATTCCAGTCTGGAGTCAACAGACAAAACTCTGTTACCCTGTATCATCTAGCACTGTGCAGGACATCATTACTTACATGTTGATCAAGCTTTGAAGACCAGCAAGTGATTCAGGGATAGCTCCACTAAGATTGTTTTGACTCAATGTCCTGGTTGAATGATAAGAAAATCTTACTGATCATGATAAAGTTTGGAGCAGAAATACATATCATATACCTCAAAGAACAAAGAGAGCAGAAGGTATCACTTACAAAAATTGTAAATTTTTAAGATCACCCAGGGAAGATGGTATTCCACCGCTTAAATGATTATTTTCCAAATCTAAGCTGGTTAAACTTGATAAATTTCCAAACTCTTTTGGTATCCCACCAGTTATGCCATTCCCTTTCAATGTTCTGCTTGATGAATGCAATCTAGTATGTATTAGTATCCAATATGAATATTTAAATTCAACACCCTAAATAGTCCATCCAAAGGGATGTAATCAAAAGCTTTATGAAGCACAAATAAAAATTTCTCATCACCCAAATCAATTGCCTTGAAAGCATTTCCACATATATTTAGTTTTTTATAACGGTAATGTGAAATTATTGAAGCTTCAAGTTGCACTTAGATCTACATGTATATATCTGTCAGAATCTGAGGGCATGGTTTTTTTTTTAAAAAAAAATATATTTACAGGTAATGGGGTATCCTTAGACTAGTTTTTGCATCAATCGAGACTAAGTCCACCGCTCTTCAGGCTAAACCAGTGCCAAAACACACCTAGCTTTTGGTTGACCACTGGGCTGCCTTTTAGGCCAAAGCAGCCCAAACCTGGTAAATTAAGGGGTAATTAGAACTAGTTATCCGTAGATAATGGGAATTGAACCTTGATCTTGGCCAAATCAAAACAACACCCTTACCACTAGACCACATCCCTTGGCAGTTGGTATGGGCATGTTTATGTGCATTGGTTATCTATATGCAATGTGCGTGCTAGCATGCACATGGGAGAGGGGAAAGGTCAAAAGTATAGATGAAAGTCAAGAAAGCAAGGGTTGTCATTGTAATACAGGGGACAAAACCCAGAAAGTGATAAAAAAAAAAATGGGGAGAAAGAAGAAATAAAAGCTACAGTTTAGAAAGAGTCAATTTGGAACACCTTCATCAGCTTTACACCCATGACCGCAATGAAGTGATTACAATAGATGGAAATCCTGAACTGGGAAGATTTATCTCCCACTGCCCCAAAGTAATAAAATGTCATAGGCTACCCAACAAAGTCCAAAACGAACTCTTTCACACAATTACCACTGAAGTAGTTTATCCTCTCCAATCATTTATGCTGTCATAGAATTAGAACTGTGTGCACTAATAACTTCCTTCTTGCACCCTAAGTTGTTTCTGTTATACACTTAGCTCGTCAATTACCCAGAGATTTCCAACAGTTCCAAAATGATCCAACGAATCATCTTGTTTGGCATCTCATCCTTGTAGCAATCATAGTGCTTGGTCAGGCAAAGTCAAAACTTAGAATGTCTGCCACCAAGTAGATATGCAGTAAATGAAGTTGGTTATAGCAAACAAATTGGGCAGACATTGAGAGACAAAGGATAACAAAAGACAGCATACAGAGAAAATTAGTTTCAGCTTTCAGATAGAAAAAGATAAGATAACTAAAGCCACAAAGCTGTTTATGAGAGAGGTTCACATCCCAATGTCAGTAATATCAATTGAAGACTAGTTTCTATGACCATTTTTAATATCACAACTTCAAGATCAGGAGGAGGGGAAAGATAGGCTGCATCTTTGACACTAACAATTTCTTACATGTTAAGGAAACAAACTTTAGTAGTCCAATGAATAGTTCCAGTAATTCCATTAGATATGCCATATAATTAGGGATTTTCTTTTGAACATGTTCACACACAGGGTTGGCATCTCATGCAAGATTCATGTTCTCACAACTGATTTAAATTCATAAAATTGCTTTTGGAATTGAAATGCACCTAATTTTTATTTTTTTTCCCCTTGAAAAAAAAAAAGAATGAAGAAATGCCCTAAAAGAGAAACAAATTCATCAAGAAAGCAAAATTCTGTAACTAAATATTATCTGCTAATCATTGCAACATACAGCATACGTACAGTGTAGTAAGAGTCTTTAGAGCTCCTATCTTAGGAGACAAGGTCCCAGAACAGTTGATGCCAGACAACGTTCTGCAAACAGGTGAAAATATAAGGATACACAGTGAGTAAGATATCATGTAATTCAACTAAAGTGCATGATATTGCAGAAATACTAAATTATTTCATATGCATTTATCATCTGGGAACAGCCAAAAGAAGAGGTACAACCACAACAAAGAAAACATACACAGAAATGACATTATTGTTAGTGTCACAAATAACATTTGTCCAAGTGCATGGATTAACTTGATTCGGGTTCCAATCTTTCAATTGATCGTCTGGAATATTCATCGAAACCTTCAGGGCAGATAGGGCATCTCCTGTAACCAAAAGTATAATTATTTACCATGTAGCCAGATTACCATCTTAGCTATTCAATCAGTGGGGAAAAAAATTGCAAAAGCTTAGTACAAAAATTAAATCAAAGAAGAGGGTAAACGACAGCATTCTCAATTTTCATTGTATATTCATATCCATCCAATTGTTTATGTCTAAAACATGTGTGCGCAAGCGCAGCCTTAGAAAGAGGTCATATTATCAGACAAAATGGTCATGGATCTCACTCTTTCAACCACAGAAGGATTTTAAACTATTACTTTAGCTTTTCTTCCTTCTCACACACATTCTGCATATAAAAATATTCTCAAACACAAAAAATACAGATAATAGGAATGAAACCAGTCTGGACATTTGTACGTGTTGGATCAATTTGAGGAGAAAGATTGACCAGATTGTGGTTCGTTTCAATTATCATTGTCTTAATGATGTCAAAATGGCCACATCAAATCAAAACAGTAAGTTAGCATATCAAAGAAGGACCACGATACCTTGTAAGTCGGACAATACAAAAGAATGCAAGTAAGCCAATAATAAAGCTGCAAAAACCAGTTCCATCTTCAATGACATCAACCCAAGTGCTCAATCCATTGAAACACGCGAACCCAAATGAGAAATACAAGTAAAACCCATCTGTGCAAAAATGTCATCACTTTTGAGTCATAAATATTTGGATTACGAGATACTGACTGCATTGGGGAAAAAGTTCACTCATACAAAAGGAAACAATTAAGCATATTAAGCGGTAAACACGCTAGCGTGGGCAGTTCTTTTGCTGTTAAGGAGAGGCCTTTAGGTTTTAGATACTTGTTCTGTATGCAGTTCATATGATGATAATGAATGAGCTTAGTTGGTTGTTTCTCTAATTTTGTAAATGTGCAGTGCTAACTTGGTGCTTCCATTAGCAGATGTTTACACTTAAACTGTCACCAAACACTAGGTGTATGTAACAGTAAAATTTACATGAAATCATTCTAATAATTAGACAAGATTTCTTGAAGCTATTGCCAGAAAAAAAAAAAAAAGTGTGGTTCAGCCAAAACAAAAACAAGGAAGCAATTATAAACAGGGTTAGGGGCCTTATGGCCTCAAATAATATATACCTAGGAATAAACAGAGGTTGACTAATTTAAGACTTCATTTTTCACATAAAAATTCAAGATTAAAGTTAAGTCAATGATTCTTCTCTCAGGTCATAAGACAGTAACTAATTCCAGAGAGAAAATCAAGCGACGTATCATTTCCATTTCCCATCAAACCTTACTCTAATTCCAGAAGAAAATGCAAAGAACATCCAAATAGAACTCTTAAATCAGTGAAGTATGGTTTTTAGCACTTAAAACAAAACATTTAAACAGAAAAGCATGAACATGAAACAATTCAAGTATTCTTGGGTCTTTCAAACTAATCCTGACCATTCAATTGAACTCAAAATCACAAGTTTTTCCTGTCCTCCACATTTCCTCAGAAACCAAACAAAGCTTCAAGCTTCAAACTTAGAAATCAAAACAAAAGAATCCAAACCCAAAAAAAAAAAAAAAAAAACCCACAAATGAGAAAAGAAAACATACCAGAATCATCAGATGAACACATAAACCATGAACTTGAAAGAACTGACAGGTGCTTCCTTTAAGAGAAAAAGGAACCAAACTTTCAGTGGAGGAGTTATCAAGAAAGGTAAAGTGCTTAATGGGATTTGAGAAAGCGAATCAGAGCTGGGGCTTTTTGTGAGTCTAAGGGATTGAGCTGGCTTAATTTGCTTTAGCCAAACTATCAAAGTGGGTCTGTATCTGTCTGGTGGTGCTTGTTCCACCTACATCCACAATGTTTGTTTTCTGTTTTTAACAGCTAAAATCAACACCGAAAGTTGTGTCTTTTTGCTCTCTCTCTCTTTGTGGGTTATTTTGTTTTCAGTTTGTGTAATCTCGGCATTAGCTCAACTTGAAGCAAACTTTTGCAATTATTTTCCCTTCTCTCTTTCCAGTGTGTAAAAACCATTAAGTCTAAAGAGTGTTTGGTCTCCAATGGTCCTGCTTTTTTATTACTAGATTTGACTATTATTATACAGAGAGATAACATTTGAATGTTTGGCCACACCCTCCTTGCATGCTAAATGGATCTGTTCTTCCTTTAGCAACACTTTAGATGTTACATTTGATTTTATAAATTAAACAACTTTTGGCTTCCTTTTAAAAGTAAAAAATTATAATTTTTAATTTGATAAAGAATTTTCTTTTATAGAAAAAAAAGAAAAAAAGGTGAAGCTCTTATTATAAGATTTTTTTTTTTTTTTTTTTGGTAATAAGTTAAAGGTTGTTTTTTCAGAAGCACATCAAGACTAAATATATGGTTAAAAAGATAGTTTTTTAAGTTTGTGAAGTGCAGAGATCATACACTCTGAAATTTAAGATTTAAAAATACGTATCATTGAGGTCTTAATGGGTTCAAATTTAAAGAAAAATTATGAAAAAATTCATGTAAAGTGTGAACTATCTAAATAAAATGAAGCAATAAATCACTTATTTTTCATGCAAAAATTTAGTTCAAAAATACCACAATTGTTTATATATATAGTTAGGTATTTTCAAATCAAGTTTCACATTAATTAAAATTAAATTTATTATTTTTTAAATTAAATCAGTATTAGAATACATTTTGCTTTTATTGATTACTAGACTTTCTTTTATACCAAATACGACAAATATTAAAAGATGCATCTAAACATCTAATTTGAATGATTTTCCACGTATGTATTATATATGTTTTATGCATAAAAACAATAATAACAATCAAATTTGGTCCAAAAAATCCGGTTGAAATAGAAAGACAAAGAGTATCTAGATTCAGCTCCCTTCACTTTTTCATTTCTAATTTGGATCTGTCTATTTGCATAATTATTGTGTCGGTTTCTAATTTGTTTCAAATTATACTTTTTTCGTGAACGAAAATACAGTGGCTAATAAGACAATGAAACTATATTTGGAATAAATAAATATATATATGGCGGTATTTTTCATTTTAATTTTTAGTTTTATCCAAATAATCGATCATTTTTCACTATCAACGAATTTGTTCTCGTCTTAAAATAATTGTTTTGATTCCATTAAAATCAAAAGTTCAATTCTCACAGTCAATAAATAATTAATTATAATTTTTTTTTAATGAGATCAGGTAGTTTAAAATCAATCTCTTTAGTTAACAAAAAGATAAACATATTCTAACACTATTTTAATTCAAAAAATAATTAATTTAGTCTCAGCGAATAACACAAAATACATCATTGCATGTGTATATATATATATAAAATTTCTTTGCCCATTGGGGTCATTTGCCAGTGGAAAAACCAATATTGGGCTATCAATAACATAATACTTGTCCTGTCATTGTCTCTTTCGAGAGAGAGTTCTGAAATAGCTAAATAATAATAATAATAATTTAAATGCACTGAGAATTGAGAAACCGAGATGAAAAGAATAATAACAATATGCGATCAAACAGGTGATTTTGAGTTAAGGCTTTCGCAAATTGTTTACTAATTTTCATCTCTAATTTTCTCATTTATTCTAAAGACATTGTCATACCCTAAAATTTTACCTTTTGTGTATTATTTTTGTGTTCTTTATTTTATTTTCATTATTTAAATTTAGGCTTGCTTTGTATAAAATCAAGACAAAAAATACATACATACATATATATATATATATATATATAATTTTTCTTTTATTTATTTATTTATAATTCAGAACCAAATTACAAAAAATAAAATAAAATACAAAAATACAAAACAAAACAAAAACTTTTCAACTTGCAGCTGCCCAACTCCTCTCAAGTCAACAATTTCGGCACCCTCTACCTCGCCGACCACCCTACTTCGCATATTCCAAGCAATCGCATCACCATACAACCTCCACAAGTGCCTCCAAGCAGCCTCACTGCTTCAGACCACACAACTCCCACGAGTCCCTCCGGACAACTTCCCCCATATCTAGCAATCTCCAAGGCAATCCCCCAATTCTTGCAACCTCACCATGCCGCAAATTGCAAAGAATCGCACTACCTTCCCCTTACCAGCCTCGCCATAGCCATCCCTTAGGACCAAAAAATAGTCGGACACGCCCACTCCGAAAAACTCGTAGAAAATCCCCCACCATCATAGTGGGGGAACCAACCAAGCCATATTCACATATATATATACATACGAAGGCAGAAGAAAAAAAAAAGAAAAAAAAAGACAGGGGAGAGGGGATTTTTTTTTCTTTAGTCCGATATCCAAGAAAATTAAGAGTGAAGCCTCGCAAAATTAGGAGAGAGTTAGCGATTGAAAAAAAAAAAAAGGCAAATCGACGAGTAAAGAAAAAAAGAGAGAAAATCCGAAAAAAAAAAAAGGAAATTAAATTTACTCGAATCGAAGGCGGTCCTCATCCATTCCAACCAATTCTTTTAGGTAATCCCTCTAATTTCTCTTTAATTTTGTTTTTTTTTTGTTTCAATTTAAGTCCGATTTAAATTTGGAATTTTTTCAAAATTGTAAAAATTTGAAGAATAGATTTGGGGGTTTTGATAAAATTGAGTCCTAAAGGGTCGAATTAACTTGATTTCACTCTAATCAAAGCAATATCGCATAAAAATTTGAAGAATTGAAAAATTAGGGTTCGGTCGAATTGGAGAAAATTTTTAGAAATTGATTTGGGGGTTTTTGTTTGAGCAAGGGAAAGAAGGAAAGAAAGGGGAGAAGAAAGAAAGAAAAGGGAAAATCAAGCCGCCATGGACGAACCTCCACTGGTTCGTCCATGGCAAGCAGCAACATGTTACAAAAAAGAGACGGGAAAGGGAAGGAAAAGAAAGAAGAGAGGGGTGCGGGAAAGGAGGAAGAGAAGAAAACGAAAAAAAAAAGGGACGAACTCGGTTCGTCCATGGCGATCGGGTAGAGAGAAGGGAAGAAGAAGAAGAAAGAGAAACGGGAAAGAGAGAGGAGAAAAAGGAAATTGAAAAAAAAGAAAAAAGGGGTTTTGATCTTAAGTTATGCTGAAATGGGTTTTGGGTTTGGTTTTTGGGTTTTTTTTTTTTTTAAATGTTGTGGGTTGGGCACTAGGTTAATGGACTGGACTGAAATTTCGATCCAATCCGCAAATAAAAAAAAAAGAAGAGAAATTCGAGCTGGACGACCAAAAAAAAAAAAAAAAGAAAAAAAAAGAAAAAGAAGAAGAAGAAGAAGAAGAAGTAAGAAAAAAAGAGTGAATTTTTTTCTAGGGATTTTGTTATTTCGTATTAAAATTAGCTATTGAATTGTTTTTATTATTTTAATTAATGTAATTTTTAATCTGGAATTTATTTTATGTATGCTCGTTACTAATTTAAATTTTAGTATTTGATTTCTTTTATTTAATTCATGTAGCTTTAATTTATTTGTTTATTAATTAGGTTCAGTAAGTAATAAGTAGAAGATTATCAAGTCTCCTAAGTTTTAGGGATCGATGATAACCCTTCTTAAAAAGAAATAAATAAATAAATAATATAATAATAAAATAAAAGAAAGAAAAATAACAAAAAAAAATCAT